TCCCCCCAGAGATGCCACCGGACACCGTCCGCAGCAAGATCCTGGTGGGGGTCGGGGGCTTCGTCTTGGGCTTGGTCTTCCTGGCGCTGGGGCTCGGCTTCTACCTGCGGGAGAAGGTAAAGGGGAGTCTCCAGGGGTTGTGTCCCCCTCCTTGTTCTCCGACAGCCTCTGTGCCCCCCCTACCCCCCCACCCCCTTTGCTCTCACCCCCTTTTCTATCCCCACAGAGCTCCTGAGCTGCCGGCGGCCGCAGCCCCTCCCTGTGGCCTCGGGCCCAGCAGGGACCCCCAAACCCTGTGGTGAGTTTGGGGGCTTGTGTGTCCCCTCTGTCCCTGCTTTTATTCTGACCCCAGCCGGCTGCTCCCAGTATTCCCAGGAAAGCTTCCCAGCTCTCCCCAGGCCTTTTGTTCTCGGCCTGCTCATCTGGCTGTTTGCTGGTTCCCGTTTGCCTTCGTTTCCTGCGCCCTGTTCTGCCCCCAGCCCGGACCTGCTCGGACTTCATGGGAGAGGTTTGACCCCCCTCCAGAGGAACCTTTTGGGGAGGAGGTCGCCCTTTCCCTCTTCCGCTCCCGTGTTGGCAGTGGCGTGTGTTCATCGGCCAAAAGGGGGAATTCCCGGCCACAGCCAGCCCCAGACAGCGGGAGATTCGTGGGAAGAGCCCCTTTTTCTCCTTTTCCACTTTTCCCCCTTTTTGTTGTTCTGCCAATACACAGATATCCTTTAAGAAAGAGCTGTTATTTTTCCTTTCTCCATACTGCCTCAACTGGAATCTCTTAATTTCAGATTTACAGTTGCTTACAGGGAGGAGTTTGGTTTTCCTCATAACTCATCCCCCTCAGCAAAACACTTCAGTCTCACTCAACTGAGACAGAGGGGCTGCCCCATGCTCCTGCCCTTGCCATTGCACATCCCCACATCCCAGAGCCCCAGCAAGAGCCCTGAGGAATGAGGCAGGCACAGGATCTCCCTTCCCAGGGCTGGGGGTCAGGCCTTGGCCCTTTGCAAGAACAAAACAAATCCAGATTTATTCAGCATCACAGACCCCGGGACTTTGCTTGTCCCCACCTGTCATCACTGCCTCCAGTTTTCGGCTCTGACTGGAAGCAGGGGACAATTTCTGAGTGCTGGCCCTCAGTGGGACCCATTAACACCAGGAGAAACTGTGGCCTTGGATCTGACTTGGAATTCTTCAGAGGTTTCTTGAACTTGCTCTTTGTCTGATGTTCAGGGACTCATCCCCAACCCCCGAGGGTCATTCAGTGCCTGGGGCTGTGTCTGTGCTGCTGAGCTGGGCCGGGCTCCTGGCACACAGGGAGCTCCTGGCAAGCGGGCAGCGCTGCAGAGAGACAGCTCTGCCCAGGAGCAGCTCCTCTGCACAGCCCAGCAGGGCTGAGGGCACTGCCAGGGCAGCTCAGGGACACCAGCAGGGCACAGACAGAGCTTCAAGGGGCTCAGGGTTGGGAGGGTGACTGAGAGCTCCCTGCAGGAGGAATCTTGGCAGGGCTGCACACGGGCAGTCTGTGGCTGCAGGGCAGTGCAGGGGCAGCTCCTGGAGGCATCTCCTAAAGCTGGCCCAGCCCCAGCCGATGGGATGGGTGAGGAGGGGGCTGTTGGGGGGCACTTTGGCAGAGCTGTGAAGCCGGGGGTGCAACCAGGGGTGCCCAGGGCTGTGGGGCAGAGCAGGGTCCTGCAGCCCAGGGCACTGCTGGGCAGGGACTCTGCTGCCTGCCAGGGGCAGCTCTCAGCCGGCCCGGGGAGCTGCTCCAGGGCTGGGGGAGAAGGGCTGTGGGCAAGGAGAAAACCCCAATTGACAGGGGAAGGCAGGGCAGGGCCCTTCTGCTGTCGAGACGGTGCAGCACATGTCAGGAATGATCACAGCTCCAAATGACTGCTGGGGGTTTCTAAGAGGAATTTTCAAGAAATGCAGCAAGGCAGGGGCATCCTGAAAGGGAAGGATCCTGTACTTCCAGTGTTCTGCTTCGGGTTCCCAGGGACGGGCAATGGGAAAGATCAATTCATGTCTCCATTCAGGAGGAAGCATGGGAAATCCAAAGCTGTTCTTCTTTGAGGGCAGTGGTGCAGGGAGTGTCAGAAATCAGCCCCCTGGGCCTCACAGGCAGCAGCAGTGGTGCTTTTCCAGCCTCCTCAGGGTTGCTCTGACGTTGCCATCAGAGCCTGTCCAGCCAGAGGTGCCCCTGGGCACCAGAGTGCCCTGTGCTGGGAGGGCTCTGCAGGGCAGAGCTGAGCACCCAGGGCTGGGATGGGCTCTGGATGCACTGCCAGGGCCCAGCCCTGGGCCCAGGGAAGCAGCTGCTGGCAGGGACAGCTCCAGGCAGCAGAGCCTGAGCACTCCTCTGCATTGCCCTCTGCTCAGCTGCACAGGGAAAGAGGGAAGAGTTGGGAGGAATTGATTTTGCAAGTGGAGTCTTCACAAAAACCCACTTTTTTTCCAGGCATCTTTGAAGTGGATCATCCAGCAAGAGAGAGGTGCAAATAGCACAGGGAACCTGTGTGCTGACCAGCAGGTCACTTGTGGGCAGAGCAGCTCTCCTGAGTCTGCACTGGGGCACAGGGAGCCCTTTGGGACCTCAGAGCTGTCCAGGGTTCAGGCTGAGAGCAATGGGGAGGGTGAGAATTCCTGCCCGGTCATGGAAAGTGCTCTCATTGAGCAGCACAGAGCTGAGTTGAACAAAGTTCCCCCAAAGAAATCCAAAGAATTTGGAGGAGATTGTAAAGCAGGAGAGGATTGACTGAAGGCAGCCCTGCCCTGACTGTGCTGCCTCTCCTGTCCCCTCCCCAGCGCGGGACGCGCAGAGGCCGCCCGGCTCCCCCCAGCCAAGGCCTGCCGGGCCCCGCCAGCAGCGGCTGCTGGCCCAGTCACTCCCAGTCACTCCCAATAGGATACCAGTTGACCCCAAGGTGGTCCCAGTTGCTCCCAGTCCCCCCCACCATGGTTCCTTTCCCTCTCAGGGACTCCCAGTCTGAGTCCAGTCTGGCCCCAGGCACTTTCAGTCACTGCCTGGAGGAGGCCATTTGCCCCTGCATGGTCCCAGTTGCTCCCAGGATGATCTCAGTATGTGTCCAGTATGTGTCCCAGTATGGCCCCAGGAACTTGCAGACGCTTGCAGTACGAATCCAGTTTGATCCCAGTCATCCCCAGTATGCTTGCAGTGCCTCTCACATACTCCCAGTAGTATTGCAGTCACTCCCAGGATGGTCCCAGTATGAGCCCAGCAGGGGCCCAGCTGCTCCCACTCTGATCCCAGTTGCCCCCAGGGTGGTTGCTCCAGGATGGATCAGGAATGGGGACCCCTCTGTGCCCCCCCCTTGTGTCACCCTGTTCTGAGGGAGCTTTGGGGGGACATCTGCACCCCAACACAGCATCCAACACATCCCAAAGTGTGCTGGGACCCCTTTGAACCTGGGAATTGAGGGGAACCATGGAAAACCCTTGTCAGAGAGAAAATTGGGTGACCCGAGTCCTGGATGCTTTTAGGAAAGAGCTCTAAACATTTCTTGAAGAATGGAGGGGGGTGACTTTTTTATTCTTGACCTTTCCAGTTCTCCATTTGGGGGCAGGATGTCCTCTGGGCCAATGTTTTGTTCCCTT